GGTTTAACAGCTGGTTAGTTTACATTAATATTATATGGGTTATCTGACCACTGGCTTACATGTATATCAGATCGCGAGCTTACATATGTATTATATGGTTTATCAGATCGCCAAATTACGTGTATTATATGGAATATCAGATCCGAAACCTTATATGATGAAAGGAACTCTTACACGTAGTTTATATACCTTGAACGTCTTAATGGTATAGTCAATTTGATAAATTAAGATCTTTTCTACTAATTAACGATAAGGACCGACAATAGTGTTTTTGGTCAGTAGGGTCCAAGGTATAGTAAAAGGTGATGGATAAGCAAAGATCTATTTTAGATATGAATATTCTGAACATTAAAATATTTCATACAAAATTATGGGTAGCCTGGAGGCTCAGTGCAGGGGGGTGGGGGCATCAAATGGGCACAAAACCAGACCCAACTTTTCTAGAGTAAAATTTTGCGTAGAATACGATGCCGAGTGATAATCAATCCGCCGTGTTCGAGTTATTCAGGGTCAAAGGTCAAATGAGTTCATTTGCACTGAAAGTGAATGCGCAGTCATTCGTGTATCATGAAAATAAGCTGAAAATGATCGAAAGTAATCACACTTTCAATAAAAATGTAAACTTGCTAAATTCACCTTTGTTCTTTGTGATCCCAGAGGTCAAAAGGTCACATATTTAATTACTCACAACTTTGTCATTTGTTTTTACCGAATCATTAAAATGTTGATATTTGTAGAATATGCATATCTACAATATATCTTTCCTTGTCGGTCACGTGTTTCAATACTTTGGACGCTATTGACTAAGAAACGCTGTTGTCGGTCCTTGGATGTCTAAAGAGGTAGCCACGGAGGGCTTGATTAGGGAAGCTGTATAGTCGTTTGGATGGGAGACATTGATCAGCTGGCACGTGAAAGGTCCCTTGGCAGTTGGAATTCGATATAAGAGTAGGCCGTAGCGCCGCTGTCCGGGCAAAATTCCCCTCATAGCACACTGTGCGGCGCATGCCGGTCTTGATTAGCCCAGTCCGAGTAGATCAGTAGGACGTTAACCCCATTTCAGTTTCATGACATATGTATGACCCAAGATATGTAATTTGTACTTTTCTAAGTATAATCATTATAAGTACGTTAGATTCAGATATGTGATAATTTTTCTTGATATTATCTTTATATATTAGATTCAGATATTTCATTTTTTCCAATGTATTGCATTTCTAGACGAACAAAATCTGGATGACAAAAATGGTAAGTTTAATAGTGTTTAAATATATAAATACTTTGAAAACCAAATAAACACACCGAATTAATTAATATAAATACTTTTTGTTTAATTAAAGATGTCAACGGTCACATGGAACAACTACAAAATTGTGTCAGCAATATTCTACCATTACATATTAGTTTTTTTCTTTTCTTTTTTGTTCCATAGAATTTCGATTTTAATCAACTTGGAATCAATAGGTCATAATCTAATTTGGTGTCGAATCCCCGGTTGTACGTGACAAGGAGTAGGGTCGCCTGTCCAACCTCGTGGGTTTTCTCCGGGTCTTTCGGTTTCCTCCCACTGTTAAAGACCCCTACGCGCATGCGAATGATTAAAATGAAAAAAATAAAATAAAATAAACCATATGTTAGTTCCGAAATGACTTTCTCTCTCCTTTTCTTTATTTAAATGACGATCACGTGTAATCAAATAATTCAATTTTATTCCATGACCCATTAACGAACGAGGACATCTAATGACAAGATACATCTATATTGTTTCGAGGTCTGTCATTAAATCAAGATGCGTTGTTTAGATTCTCCGCTTGTACCTGACAAGTGTATAGTCGCATTTTCAATCTCGCCTGTGTTCTCTTTGTCCGCCGGTTTCCTCCCACAAGCGAATCATTGAAATAAAATGACCTACTTTATGTCGCATTGACTTTACCCCCGCCTCTCCACTATCTCTCTTCCATGATTCTATTATATTGCACGTGCTTTTATAGCCATAAGAGGGACAAGACAGCAATACTGCTTCTAAGCAGAGCGAGAGAAATGGGGTTTAACGTCCAATCCACACAAACTAGGTAATTTTATTTCAATAATTCGCTAGCGCGCCTTTAGCAGTGAGGTGAAACCGGGGGTTTCCGGAGAAATTCCACAAGGTAGAACAGGCGACCATACTCCTTATCACGCAAAAGCGGGGACCCAACCCCCTTGCTTCTCAACATAAATTAGTATGGTTTTTTTTCAATTTACTTGTGATTTGTATATTTATAGTCATCAGCGACTCAGACATTTGGTTAATTGGTATTGGAGGTGGAGGAATTCTGATAATCATTGTTTCCATACTAGTTATGGCCACCTGTTGTAAGAGGAATAAGCAACCCAAAAATGGAAAATCACAGAGTGAACAACCCAGGATTAGAGAACCAGTTGCCAATATTCCAAAACCGCTGAAAGAAGTGCAGGAGCCTAATGATGAAAGTCTGTATTCATCTACACATGACCGGAGGATGGAAGATGTTCATGTATATACCACGAATACCAGTTCAGATTATGTTATACTGTGTTAAATGTTTTATTCTTCAACAGTCGAGCTACAACCATATAACCATTCAAACTATGATGTCGAGTTACAACCATATAACCATTCAAACTACCGACGTCGAGCTATATCCATATAACCATTCAAATTATCGACAGTCGAGATTCAACCATATTATAACCATTCAAACTACCGACGTCGAGCTACAACCATATAACTACCGACTACAACCATATAACCATTCAAACTACCGACTTCAACCATATAACCATTCAAACTACCGACGTCGAGATTCAACCGTATAACCATTCAAACCACCAACTGTCGAGGTACAGACATATAACCATTCCAGCTACCGACTGTTGAGGCACAGACGTATAACATTTCAAACTACCAATATCTGACACGTTGACTCCTAGTCTCCTTTCGTTTAATAGACGTTTTGATTTTCGTACAATTTAGTACGAACTGTTTTTATGTGTTATAGCTAAAATGGTGTTATACTTGTGATATTAAATACATTAACATTTTATTATAAGGTCACTTATAATGTTTATAATATTATAACCATAACCATTCAACTAAACCGACTGAACATATTTAACCATTCAAACTACCGGCAATCCAGGTACAACTATATAGCTGATTCTAAGAAACATCCTCTCTTTTTATAGACGTTTCTATTTTCGTTTTACTGTAGTATTTAGTATGTAAATATTGCGTTGTACTAGTGTATGTGTTGTCAACTACATTAAAATAAATGTATAAAGTCGCTGATCGTTATTTGCATTTTGCGGACAATATTTTACAGCTTTATCAATGTTAAAATGTACACGGATTCATTATTTGATGAAGAACACAAACCCAACGACACAGGGAGTTTGTTCGTCCGCGTGTGATTAAAAGCTCTTTCGTTGAGTTAAGTGGCGTGGTTTCGATTCCCAGCTTGTACGTGACAAGTAAGGTCCCCTGGCCAACATCGTGGGTTTTCTCCGGGTCCCCGGTTTTCCCCCAACTGCTAAGGACCCCTATGCGTTAGCGAATTATTGAAACGAATATGAAGCATATGTTAGTACAGAAATGACCTAATGTGTGTCGAGTGGTCGTTAAACCCCGTTTCTCTCTCTCTCTCCCAAAACCACAAACGGTTGATAAAATTCTGACATGGATTCACTCGGATGAAAAAGAGGTCCATCAAATAATTTTTACCCAACACTAAAAAGTGGCGTTCGGGCATTTACGTTTTCTGTAGATGTGACTGATTAGTGATTAATGTGAAATTTTTAATTCAAATTCTTTTCATAACAAATAAGGAAGAAAATAAAACCATTTAAGCACTGATATTTTCTTTAAGACATTCGTCATTCACAATAATGTAATTTATAATGGATTCATAATCCCTTTGTGCCACCGTGGCAAAGTGGGTAGGACGCTGAATTGATAGCTTGGAGGTTGCGTGGTCGATCCCTGCATTGGCTGAGAAAGTTCATCGGGATTTCCCGACGTGGTTTCCCCTTGTCAGTAATGCAAGACGGAGGCCCGGACAGCTGTCTAGTCGTTCGGATGGGACGAATAACCGAGGTCCTGTGTATACATGGGCATACACGTAAATGATCCCTTGCCAGTTGGAAATCGATATAAGAGATAGTGCCGCTGCCCGGGCAAAGTTTCCCTCACAGCACACTGTATGCCCGTCTACATTAGGTCAGTAGGACGCCAAACCCGATTTCATTTCATTTTATTTCATAATCACCCCAAATGGCGATCAACGTATTAAGAAAATTGCAGTGAGCATATTCCTGACGACATTACTATGAATGTGTTACACTTACTGAGTCGGAGTAAAGTAATGAAAGCTGTGACGGCTTTGATCAATATTGTATGAATTTAGAAAGTGGCAAAAACATGTAACTGTTAACATTGTTCTATTTCAGCCCCCTTTTTTTCGAAATCGAATTTGATTAATATTATAGTGTGCGCATATCTAAGGAGTCAAAGAAATACAATTTCTGTTTTCTGGGGCGTAGGAAAGATATTCGTCATTTTGTTTTATTTATTTTGATATCCGGATTATCAATATTAATAGACGTATTGATTTGTATTCATATACCAATGATCTTTTTAAACTAAATTATTTTCGCTTTTGTTTGATTTGACTTTATATGCGGATGGTTGCATAGTTATGATGATTATATACCGTATTATAAATTTTAAATAATTGTATATATAAACCATATTCAGTAGTGAAGTCATTCGAAGAGACGACAAGCTATGGCATTTTTTTAAATATAATTTAGATTTAAGGGAGACATTCTATTAAAATGTCAACGTTGCTTTTGTTTTTGCCTTACATTGATCTCGGGAGTGTCCTAGTCATAAATTCTACAATATGTCAATAACACTACACAGCTGTATGTTTGACAAAAATATAAGCATATTCATATCATATTACACCCTAGAATGGCATTATTATAGTAGGTTTATTTATTTGAGTTACTTCATTTTTCACGAAAAAGAGGTATGTACAGTATAAACCGGAAACTAGTTGGGTTTTTTTTTCTCATAAACCACAACTTAACACAGCAAAAACGCGTGTTAACTATGTTAAAAGGGCATATAAAGTTATTTGCGAGATATCATTGACAATGGTTTGTTAATTAACCACAAATGAATACAAAATTTAATTATACTGAGATAGGCTATGACAGGGAGATATTATAGAATCTTTATGGTACACTATTAGGTTATGTAAATTATCTCTGTCTAGTTCTGTCACGTGAATTTACACAAAGTGTTATGTCGTGTAAATTAATATACTAGATATGTGCCACGCAAATTAACACATTATCGATCTATGCCAAGTATATTAACAAATTGTTGATGTATGCCACGTAAATTAACAAATTCTAGGTTTTATGTCATGCAGATTAACTCAATGTAAATCTTGTCTGAATTAACACATTATGTATATGTGCCACGTAAAATAACACAATGTAGATCTATGCCAAGTATATTAACATACTGTTGATCTATGCCACGTAAATTAACAAATTCTAGGTTTTATGTCATGCAGATTAACTCGATGTAAATCTTGTCTAAATTAACACATTATGGATTTATGTCACGTATGTTAACACATTGTAAATCTATGTCTCGTAAATTAACAAATTGTAATTCAATGCATTGTTGTCACGTTTTTTAAGCACATTATAATTTTATGTCGTAAATCAACTCAATGTGTTTTTTGTCACATACATTACTACATTGTAATTCTGTGTTGTGTGAATTAACTCAATGTCGATTTGTCACATAAATTAACACATTATACCTGTATGTCATATAATGTTAATGCGCTCTCCACTACGTTTGCTGAGATCATTCGTCTGCTCAAAGGTGTGTAGCACCATGGGCCTTTTTGTCAGACGTGGAGAGCGGGAATTAGCGAAACCAGTCGCCACATCCTACGTACGACCCACGCATCTTTTATTACTACATATCTTAGTAGCCTTGTGATCGTCTAGAATTTGTCTTATATATTTACTTCTTCTTCACGTTGTGTATTTACTTCTTACTGTTTTGTTAAGACGTTTGTCTTCTCAGTAGTTATAACAATGCAACAGTTCGTTTTTACATTTTATATATCAGCTGCATACAAGCATAGTATAGATTACAATAATAAAGTCATTCTCTCAAACCTCATGCAGCCAGACTCGTTGGGCGAGTCTGGTGATAGAACCTGCTACATCTTTTCCCTTCTGGAATCAAGATGCTATCTAGGAACTCGGATGGTAAACTATCCGGAATCTAATGAAAGTCTGACTTAAAAGTTTGCCATGATTTCTTTTATAGAACCTATGAACAACAGCACAAAACTAGTGTATTCATGACCCTGGACAATTACTAATATGATTGGTCACTTTAGCCAAATGATGTAATTAGTAAATTTCCAAGCACGTGTAATCTCGTGGTATTTTATTGACACATACAACCAGCTATGTTTTGGTTCTGTAACTCTTTTTATGTGTCAACCCGTCAGTTATTAACTAGGTTGATTTAAGTACAATTCTACATGTATGTATGTGAATCTACCAACTTGCCAAAGATTTAATTAATGAAATATACTGCCCCCATTAATTTCAAGAGCAAAAATTCTAGCAGTATTATTACAGGGGGGAGCCCTATCGAAACTCGTTCATAATTTTCTTTGGAGGTTTAATGTTCCCGACTCTGAACCTCGTAGGTTAAAGTTTTGGTTCGATTTCCAATCTTGTCAGGAATATTCGGGTCGTTCTAAAGAGGCACCTTGGTGGAATTCAATGTTGCGGCGCCCAACAGCTGTATGTCCGAAAACATGAAAGCCCAGGTACCGTATGTGTATTATCTGCAAATCTTTGCGTGTCTCACTGTCTAGAATATTGCGATTTATATTTGAAGACGAAATCATTATGTTTGATGCACACAAGAAACATCAATATCACAACTGAACATACCCACAAGTAATCCATTACTAGTAGTCACGAAAATGAAGTCAATCACACGAAGTCCCACATTTCTAGTGCCCAAGAACCTGTATACGAGATGTCCCCTTCGTAATGCTTGTTTAAAGGTGTATTTGATTAGCAATCCTCGAATCTGATGAATACCGGTATGCTCTGTTCTAGGCTTTTCAATGACCTACATTTAAATCAAAAGAATCCAAGAGGGTTGGCAGATGTATGTATTCTTGCAATCTGGTTAGCTTGTGTGAAACACTATTGTTTTTGTTAAGATTATTCTTCTTCTTATTTTTTTTTCCACTTGAGCATATCTAAGAAACTACTTGTCGGATCAATTCGATGTCTTCGGTTTTACTGGAAAAGTGGGTGTGACTTAGAGATTAAAGCTATTTCGAACGTTCTGCGAATATGCGAAATGTCCGAAACGCCAAAGTTGTCGTTTTTTGAAATATTGCAGTAATATTAACAATAATCGTCGGATTTTAACATTGGATACATTTTGACATAGCCTGAGACAGGGCACATAGCTACGGTAGTTTAGATTTTTGATTTTCGACGAATCTTCGGAGATATTAGGCGCCAAATTTTGAAAATTTAAATTTTGACAAAAAACTTTTTTATTAATGAATAATTTTTTACGGCATTTTACCCAGGGTTAAGGGGTCGTCTGATTTGATCAAAAATGTGAACATTTTTTGTCTCGATAATTTTTTTTGGCCGCTATTGGCTAATTCAGTTTATCGGTTCTAGGTTAATTATTTATTGCCCGATTTTTATAAAACAAAGTTCATATGCTCCATGGTGCAAATTCTCAATTTTTTTATTACCGGTAAAGTTTTCTATCGGTACCGGATGTGACGCAATTTTGCTAAAAACTCCAATTTTGTCGAGTCGGAACGTCTTTTCACTAGCAAATGTTAATTTTTGCAGATCTGATAGATCAAGATAAATGCCCCTACCAAAGGCGCACAAAATGTCGGACTCACCTTTTTCAATTTTGGTTTTGTATTTGCGCCATTTCGATTTAAAGGTGAAAAAAGGTGTAAAAATGAGCTATTTACAACCCATTCAGGCTTTTCATATTTCAAAATATTTCTTCGGAACTATAATAAACTTGGAGCATTAATCCATAGTTTGTAATAGTTTGTAATATGAGTATTTGCCTAGAAATGGTCAATTTTGCATGAGTCACTTTTTACGCTATTTTGCCTGTAAAAGAGACAATTATTATTGGATTTTCATAAAAATGACACCATTTGATGCGTAATGTCAATTTTGACTAGTTCAAACCAATTTAACATTTTCAATGTCACCGGAAATGGCGCCATTTGGGCAAAAATGTATTTATAGCCTTCAAAACAGATATTTTATTCAAACGAGTCTGGTTTGTAATGTTTTCAAAATTATGATATTTGATTCCAATCAACTAATAGAATGAACCCATACGATCATATAGATATCACAACATGTTTTCTAACTTGTTCAGTTGCGGAGAAATAGGCGATTTTCAGCAGGTCACTTTTCAAAGTTTTTGGTCCATAAAAGTGGCAATTATTATTCGATTTTCATAAAAAATTTCACTGTCTGATACCTAACGCCATTTACGATTTCATACAAGTAATTTAAGATTTTCATTATCACCGGAAGTAACGTCATTTTGGCGAAAAATGTATTTTTAGCCTCCAAAGCAGATATTTTATTCAAATGCGTCTGATTTGTAAGGTATTTAAAATTATGATATTTGATTCCAGTCAACGCATAGATTGAACCCAAACGATCATACAGATACCAAAATATGGTTTCTAACTTGTACGGTTGCAGAGAAATAGACGATTTTCTACAAGTCACTTTTTAAGGTTTTTGGTCTATAAAAGTGGCAATTATTATTCGATTTACATAAAATTTTCACCATGTGATGCCTTATGCCATTTCTGATTTCATAAAACTAATTGAACTTTTTTATTATCACCAGAAGTAATGTAATTTTGTCAGGATCACTTACATGTAACACATGTATAAATGAATTGACATTGCTGGATTTGGTTGAATCTGCTTCCATTTTATTTGATGCGTGCAAAGTTTGTGCATATCTATTTATCGGTTCCATTGGTACTGGAAGCGATGAGTTCAAGGGTAACATGGCACCAAAAGTGACATAAGTTCAATGGTAACGTGGCACCAGTGAAACCCGTCATTACTGTTTCGCAGTTCTAGTTATTATTATTATTATTATTTTTCCATTTGAGCATATCTCAGAAACTACTTGTCGGATCGAATCGATGTCTTCGGTTTTACTGGGAAAGTGGGTTTGACTTAAATTTTAAAGCTATTTCCAACGTTCTGCGACAATGCGAAATGTCCAAAATCACCGAAGTTGTCGTTTTTCGATATTTTGCCGAAATGTTATCAATAATTGTCGGATTGTAATATTTGATACATTTTGACATAGCCAGAGACAAGGCACATAGCTAAGGTTCTTTGGATTTTTTATTTTCGACGAATCTTCGGAGATATTAGGCGCCAAATTTTGAAAATTTAAATTTTTACAAAAAAACTTTTTTATATATGTATTTTTTTTTGTGGTTAAAGAGTCATCTGATTTGACCAAAAATAGGGTTAAAGAGTCATCTGATTTGACCAAAAATAGCAACATTTTTTGCCACCGTATTTTTCCTTGGCCCCCATTGGCTAATTCAGTTTTTCAGTCCTGGATTAATTATTTATTGTTCGATTTGTATCAATCAAAGTTCATATGCTCCGTGGTCCAAAATGTCATTTTTTTTGTTACCGGTACATTTTTCTTTCGATAGCGGAAGTGACGTAAATTTAGCAAAAACTGCAAATTTGACAGTTCGGTACCACTTTTTGAAAGCAAATATTATTTTTTTCAAATCTGGTATGACTGAAAGGGTGTGCCTTGTTAAGGCGCAAAAATCATCGCGCTCAGTTTTTTTAATTTTTATTTCGTTTTCGGATCATTTCGATTTAAAGGCGAAAAAAGGTGAAAAAATAAGCTATTTACAACCCATTCAGGCTTTCCATATTTTAATATATTTTTTCGCAACTTTCATAAACAAGTAGCAATAATCCATACGAAGAGAATATATGTGAAAAATAGTTTGTAATATAAGCAGTTGCCGAGAAATGGGCAATTTTGCATGAGTCCCTTTTTACGCTAGTTTGCCTGTAAAAGTGTCAATTATTATTCGATTTTCATAAAAGTGACACCATTTGATCCGTAATGTCAATTTTAACTAGGTCAAACCAATTTAACATTTTCAATGTCGTCGAAAATGACGTAATTTGGGCAAAAAATATATCTATAGCCTTCAAACCAGTAATTTATTCAAACGAGTCGTATTTGTTATTTGTTTAAAATTTTGATATTTGATTCCAATCAACTAATAGAATGAACCCATACGATCATATAGATATCACAAAATGGTTTCTAACTTGTTCAGTTGCGGAGAAATAGACGATTTTCAACAGGTAACTTTTCATGGTTTTTTGTCCATAAAAGCGTCAATTATTATTCGATGTTCATAAAATTTCCAGTGTGTGATACCTAATGCCATTGACGATTTTATACAAGTAATTTAACACGTTTTCTGTCACCGGAAGTAACGTCATTTTGGCAAAAACTGTATTTTTAGCCTTCAAAACAGATATTTTATTCAAATGAGTCTGATTTGTATTGTTTTTAAAATTATGATATTTGATTCCAATCAACAAATAGATTAAACCCACACGATCATACAGATACCAAAAAATGGTTTCTAACTTGTACGGTTGCAGAGAAATAGTCCCTTTTCAAGATTTTTGGTCTATAAAAGTGGCAATTATTGTTCGATTTACATAAAATTTTCTATAGGTCACTTTTCAAGGTTTTTGTTCTATAAAAGTGGCAATTATTATTCGATTTACATAAAAAAATTTCATCATGTGATGCCTTATGCCATTTATGATTTCAAAAAACTAATTTAGAATTTTCATTATCACCGGAAGTAGTGTAATTTTGTCAGGATCACTTACATGTAACAAATGTATACAATGAATTGATATTGCCGGATTTGGTTGATTCTGCGTACATTTTATTTGATGTGTGAAATGCTTACATGGAAACCTGTTTAATAGTTTCATCGGTACCGGAAGTGACATATGTTCAAGCGTAACGGGGCACCGGTGAAACCCATCATTACTGCGTCGCAGTTCTAGTTCGTTTCGTTTTTGTAGTTCAAAATTTCGTTTTACTTGTCTTTACTACACTTGGATCTGGAAGAGTTGTTTTTTAACTCGTGTTCTGAATGGTGTCGTGGATAAGCCAATGAAACGGTCTGTCACGGCGGGTTTTGCACGGAACTGTGGGTAATCCACTAGTAACACAAATGCTGATTGGTTAATCAAATGTCTGACATCATAGGGTCATAAGTCCGTCTTTTGACCCCTGACGTGACCTATCGCTATAACTTGTCAGATCTTCATGTAGTGTAGGCCATCGAAAGTATAAAAAAACGAAACGAAATATAGATTGGTATTCTTGTATTTTGATTTCAGATCGTTAGGAATCAAACCGGATCGATTACCGTTGCTACGATAATATATAGTCTACGCTGAATTTTGTTAAAACTTTAAACACTTTTAACTGAAATTTTCAATATATTCAGTTTTTATTATCTATTGTGAATTATTATAGCCAGAACGACCAGCTCTTTATCTAATTCGTAAATAATGTATCTTTAATTGTTGATTCGAATATTGTAATATATATGTATCTTGATATTCTGAACATGGTATCCTACATACAATGTACCGCCAGCAATCTATGGATTGGTGTCAGTAACCTACTTCATATTTTTGAAAATTACATGATATTGTACATTTGTTACGATAAAAACGGACTTGTGATAGCTAAAAGCCTACGTAACGTTTAACAAGCAACCATTTCTATAAAGTCTTCACACGACTTCGGACCCTTGCTACAAGACTGGACAGGTATGCGGTGATGTTTCTGGTAAGGATCTTAACGAAATGAAATGGGGGTTAACTGTTTTGCGTCAACTGAGCTAATGAAGACGGGCAGATGCCATAGTGTGTTAGGAGGTAAACTTTGCCCAGACAACGGTCAACTCTTACATCAAATTCCAAGGGTTATACGTGCACACCAATGTGTACACGGGACCTTGCCAGACCGCCGTCCTCCTGCACCATTGACGAGGCCGACCTAGGACACGCCGAAAATCCTTATGGGCTTTCTCGGCCAACACCGGGATCGTACACTGGACCTCCAGGTTTGCGAGCCAACGTCTTACTCACCGAGCCACCCGTATTTATTTGAAAGGTGACTAGGTGGTTTAATCAATGAACAAGAGGATGTCGAATGCGGGCGGGTCTTTGTTTTAGGTTCATGTAGTCGAGTGGTGTGGTTCCATGAGAGTAGCCCCCCCCCCATCTTCCCCGTGATTCCATAGGCAACAGGTAAAAAAAAACCCTTGACAGTTTTCAATCGACATTAGGCAGATGGATTTAAGTTTTAACACGCCATAAGCATTATATTGTTTTTCACGTACAATTCGTTTTTTCATTTTCAGAAACAAGTCGGAATGGATTACCGTCGAGTTTTTCTATCTATGGTTGTTTTAACGGCCATGACAATTTGTATTAACATTTTATACATATTACCTCCCAGGATTACAAACAGTGCAATGGATGAAAAACATACACGCGAATTTAAATCATTTACGCTACAAAATATAAACTGTAAACGAATCTTAGAAGGCGATGAGAACGAAATGCTCCAAGCGAAATCAATGGTTCCTAAATCTTTCCCTGACGACGAAACTGTACTACGGCATACAACTAATTGTGTTCAGTTCCGAACACTGTACGGCTATGACACTATTCCAAATACAGAGGAAGAACAGCAGTTTCCCATTGCATTTAATATACTTTTATATAAAGACTTAGCTCAAGTTGAAATACTTCTTCGTGCTATTTATAGACCACAAAATTACTATTGTTTACATGTAGATGGGTTTTCCCCAGATCATGTTCACAAGGCAGCTAAAGCATTAGCTGATTGTTTTGATAATGTATTCATAGTTTCTAAAACAGAGAATATAGTTTATGAAAGTTTTCAGCGATTGCAAGCTGATATCAACTGTATGGCAGATCATTTAGTTAAACCAGACTGGAAATATCTAATTAATCTTCCTGGACAGGAATTACCGTTGAAGACTAATTTACAGATTGTGAATATATTAAAAGCATTAAATAACAACAATTCTATAGAATGTTTGACTAAGCAACTCCTATCATATCGCTTTTATCGTCAATATATATATCAATACGGTGATGATGGAAAACATTACAAAATTATAAAAACCAAGAACCAAAATCCAAATTTACCACATGGTATGACAATCGTCAAAGGAAGTGCTTATGCTGTTTTCACTCATCAATTTGTTAATTACGTAGTCAACAATCAAACGGCGAAAGATTTATTAGAGTGGTGTCGTGGAGTTCTTTCTCCTGATGAATATTATTGGTCAACATTAAATCATAATCCACATTTAAAAGTTCCTGGTAGCTATAAAGGTAAAGGATTTATTTTATTTTTAAAGGTAATTGATCTATAATTGCATTTTTAAAAGTCGTATGTTTAAAATATATTAAAATAGAACCCCACAACACCTGACTATAGCATAGACCGAACTTGTTAAAGAATAATCCGTTTTATTCTATGATTCACTTTTGCCAGTTGTAAACTTTGCATATTATATTGTAGCATTTTCAAGATGAAACTACAACGTTGGGGGGTTTGTAAGTTCCCTGGGGGCACTGTACTCGATACAGGCCTTGAAAGTTCCCTGTCCTCAGTAAAAAAAATAAAATAATCTCATTTCAAGTCTCTTTATATTTAGAAACAAGCTAGGCAATTTTTCCTCGGTCAACCAGACATTATCCGTATCGAGAAAAATCTGCACTACAGATTAAATCGAGACCTACCAAATGCATTATGAACACTTAGTTTTTCAGTGGGCGAGTTGATACTATTTCAAATATTGATGTGAATGTTGTATGTTGGAAGTTCTAGAATGATTCCTATGATTGGATGATTTGACAATATATACAGTAATAACTATGCTGTCTTCATTAAGCCAGCCAGAGCAGAACTGTGGGACGTTACACACATTTCATTTCATAACACTGATATTGTTAGAGTACTTTTCGAGCCAATTTCTGCCGCCATTTTGGATTCCATATTGGGTCAATCGTTTGTGAGATGAATCGGAAACTGATATTACACGGGTCATTTCGCCAACAACGTTTGTCAAGGTCAATTTTGGATTTTCGGATCTCTTGGAGTTAGCCTGTAGATTTTAGAGGTAGCAAACTACAAATACCATCAATAGGGCCCCTTCAATCAGAAACCATAGACAGACATTGTACCACGAGAAATGGTCACATATCTGGGGGTTGTGATACGACTATAAGGCACCTTTAAAGACAGTTTTCTTTTAGACGTATTTCCAATGATTATTTTATAAATTCAATCTTTATCATTATATTTTGTTTGAAGAAAATGAAACTGGCAGAGCTTAACAACAAAAATAATACATTGAGAGGAATATGTAGGTTTTCTGTACTTATTTCATCAGCGTTGATAACTAATTGGCAGTGTTTCATTTTTTTTTTCATTTGACTACGCAGTTTAGTTTGACTACATGTTTACATTACAAAGTATGCAACAATTTGTCAAAAACCTTGTGAACGCGATAGTTGCTATAGGTATTCATAGATTTGTTCCAATTTGGATGAACTCTATCGATTTTTAGCCCTCCTGGGTTATCCCTTACGGCATTGGTGTTGTGAGAATTGATTAACCCTACTGATATTCACCATTCTACCACTTTTCCGTCCTGGAGTTCTCTCATTTTTGCCGAAAACATGTGAACATGATATCGCGGAATTTTTTAAAACTTGAGTGTGAAAAAGTATGGTCATGAGAGGGCGATCGAAGAGCATCGAAAGTGTACTCTGTGTCTTATTTTTTAAAAAAAAATATAAATAGCTAGACCAATTAGCAGCTTTGTCAAATTATTGTGTTTGGTAATGAAATCTAGATCACAAGATTTATTTAATAAACCAGCTGCCAATTACCATATATCTTGCAACGATGAAGAACCCTCCCCTTTGACGAAAAGTAGTACAAATATGGCTGCAGTTTAGACAACCGTATGTGGACGTATTTTCACATGGCAAGCACAAAAATCAACTCTCTAGGCCAGTGGTTCACTAATACAGGGTGACACAAAAAAAACGTTCATCAATAAAAATCGAATAACTTCCAAAATTGTATTTAGATTAACATAGCTACATTAGGTTAAGTCTGTACCACAAAAACTCGTTGTTTAACTGGCGCTCAAAAAATGTGCTTTAAATGAGCTCCCCGGTGCTGCAAGCACATTTGGATCCGGCGGGCAAAGTTCTCGATGACCCTCCCACATTCTTCCCTTGGGGTCGCTTTTATTGCTGCTGTGATTGCTGCCTTCAGATCAGGGATAGTCTGGGGGTTGTTGTCCTTAAGGTATCCCCACAGATAAAAATCTGGGGCGTTCAAGTCCGGTGAATGCGGCGACCACTCAGGGTCACACCTGCGGCTGATCAGTCGGTCAGGGAAACGCTGCTGTAGCCATGCCAATGATTCGTTTGAGGTGTCGGGGTGGCACCATCCTGCTGGAACCACTGGAGGTCCCTGACGACCCCTCTTCGTTATTCAAGTTTAGGTGATGAACGCTTTTCTTGTGTCACCCGGTATATTGAATGGATTATACCAATTTTAGGCGATACAGGTATTACCAGATTTTGTGTATTTAATCGGTAATAATTTTAGAAAACAACAAAACAAAATAAACAACAACAATTACATTGATAGTTATCATAAGCTCATAAGCTTTGTTGCGTGTCGGGTGACAAATATATTGAGAGGATAAGGCAAATTTTAGACGTTACAATTATTACCGGATTTTTGTTTTTCATAGGTCATAATTTAACAAACATTACATTGCTAGTTATCTTAAGCGTTGTTGCGTGTTGGACCTCTGTTTGAAAACTCCTTCCAACGAAAGGAGTTGATTAAATTGTTTATAATCTCTTGTAACTGTTTATACTTTCTGATGTTGTTTTTTTTTTACATTTACAGAAAAATGCACATCTAATTTATTGTCCACATATGCAAACTGGCAGATTGGAAAAACACGAATGAAATGTGCCGGGAGGATTTTGAGAAATGTTTGTATTTTTTCAGTGGGTGATTTGCCAACGCTCGTCAATAGGAAGGAATTATTTGCTAATAAATTCGAACTAGAGTATAGTTACACTGCAATACAATGTTTATCTGAATGGTTACACAATGAAACACTTTCCTCGCAACCAATTGATGAACAATTTTACAAATCAACATTTTAATTCGCAAAAACGACCCATCCTGACAGGTGACCTTGAAGATGTACATACAAAAAAAAAATTATTGGTTAATAAATTTACATAAGGAGCAATGATAAACTTGACATAATATTTTGCAGGTATTTGTTGTTCTACTTAAACCACATTGCCGAGAAGGTAACAAAGAAGAATATTTTGTGTTTAGAAACAACAGCGTTTCTTTTCTATAATCTTCTTGGTTAATCTGTCAATTGCAAAACTATCCAACTGCGTCCATTGGTGTAGCATTCAACTATTCGTTTTTATACGTGAACGTTACTGTAATTAACCTAGCCTGGAGGTCGGGTGTTCGATCCCTGCATTGGCCTAGAAAGTTCATCCAGATTTTCCGTCGTGATTCCCCCTTGTCAGTGATGCAGGACGGAGGGCCTGACAGGGAAAGCTGTCTAGTCGTTCGGATGGGACGAAAAGCCGAGGTCCCCTGTACACATTGGCGTGCACGTAAAAGATCCCTTGGCAGTTGGAATTCGATGCAAGAGTAGGCCGTAGTGCCGCTGTCCGGGCACACGCATCAACATAACAATGAAATGTAACGCACCTACCCTGAAAATGAAATTTAACGACGCCCCCACGGCAATGAAATGTACGACACCAAATCTGGCAGTTAGTTTCGATTGATCGATATCTTCTAATATTCAAAATATCATTCTAATGGTTTTTTACATTATATACTGAGCGCCATGGAAAACGCATCACTTTTTTTCCAAAATATTTTATTACTAGGTGGTTTTGTATGTTTAATATTATGCAATACTATGAACTACTGTTTCACACAATACTCCCAAACGCAAAAAATATCGGCCCGTGTGCAAAAAAAAAATTGCACGAGATGCACATAAAAAACCCAATATTCACGTGCAGCATTGTGTGTGAGCCTTTTAAAACATGTTTTCAACTTATTGTGCAGTACATGAAACGTCAATCTGTCGTAATTTGTTGTTGGAAGTGTGAAGGAATCGAGCTAGAGATGCCGAGACTTACTGAAAATCAACGGAATGAAGCCATAGGAATGTCCAGGGCTGGCATGTCTACACGTGCTATTGCTAGACACTTCAATTGTCATCAGTCCACTATTGTAAGGTTGGTGGAACGTGTTCGAGTTACTGGATCAACACGTGACCCTCAACGTCCTGGTCCACAACGCGTTACAACCCAGGCTCAAGACCGCTACATCCGGGTCACTCATCTGCGTGACAGATTCCGCCCAGCGACTCGAACAGGTGCAGCAGTCGTCGGAAGACAAGGACCAGTAAGTGCCAACACCGTAAGACGTCGTCTAAGAGAAGCAGGGATCATCACCGTCAGCGGCGTTTGATATGGGCTCAAGGACACCAGACATGGAGAAGAGTGACTGGCAAAGTGTGCTCTTCAGTGATGAGAGTCGCTTTCATCTTTATCACGCTGATGGCCGTCAACGTGTGTGGAGACGTCTTGGGGAACGTCTTGCAGACTGCTGCGTCTTCGAAACGAATCGATGGGGCGGGGGAAGTGTAATGGTGTGGGGAGGCTTCACATTTCATCACCGGACCGCCCTACACATTTGCAGGGGTCGCGTTAATGCTGTAGACTACCGTGATGATGTCTTGCAACCAATTGTTGTTTCGATGTTTCGAGCGCACCCACAACATCAGCATTTCCAACAGGATAATGCACGTCCACATACCGCCCGTTATAGAATGGACTACCTGGCTGCTAACAACATCAATGTCTTGGACTGGCCAGCCATGTCTCCGGACATGGCACCGATAGAACATGTCTGGGATGAGATTGGACGCCGTCTGTATCGGAGACCACAGATGCACACCATTGCTGCTTTAGAAGCTGCTCTTGTCCAAGAATGGAACAATTGGTAAATTCCATGCGACGTCGCTGCACAGCGTGCGTAAGAGACATCTGTGTCGTACTTTTTGTTTTGACCCCTCTGACTTTGTACCGTTGATTAATAAGTGTACAAATGTGTTGTTATTGATGTGCTCCCATTTGAATGTTGTTCACAATAAGAAGCAAAATAAATAAGATATGTTTACAGGATCATTTTGTTATACGAAAAACTAAGTGATGCGTTTTCCATGGCGCTCAGTATAGTTTCGTGGTGTTTTGCTCATATAAAATCTTCTGAAACCTTCAGGAAGTCATGGGGGCGTTGGTTCTTTTGATACCCATGTAACAATATTTTGACTCTTGACTACCCCTTGACCATGATAAAACATGGCTTAAAACCTTCAGTAGGTCCTTCCGGGTTTTTTTGGTACCCATATATATGGTCTTTTTTTATAGCGGCGGACTAGTGCACTCGCGGACTTGTGAACCCCCTGTCCCGAAATGTTATCTAAATTATTAACAAGCCAACAGTGAGGCTGATGTCCCCCGCCGAAATAGGAAAATAATTAGAGGACACATATAAATTTATCACAAATTATCTTTTACAAAGTATTGAACAATCAAACAGTATATCTTTACTTATAGTCTAAGCATACAATGTTTTTGATGGAATAATTATAGCATATTAAGGGGAAAACATGCTCTATGCCTACAGATCTAGAGTTTGGTTGTATCAACGGGTCTATTTTCCATCTTGCTGCAAGTTGTGCAAAGTTCACTGTTTTCTTTCTGTCATTAAATGTCAATTCATTATTGCATACTACATATTTAATTAATTTATAATAGTTTCTTTTTCAATTTGTTTTTTCCATTTATTTGTTTATTTACCTTGCCTATATTCATTGTATTGGATTGTATTGGAATTGCTCAATTGATGCTTTTATCAATACCTGGTTATAATATTATGACATGTAATGTGGCAAGTTGAGTCGGGACATGTAGGCTATAATGTAACCTAAATGTATACATAAGTGGATTTCGTTTCATTTTTTTCGAAAATATTGTACAGATAAAAGAGGAGGAATTACAGGGGTAATACATTGGAAAGCTTCTTCAAGAACTAAAGCATAAACTATATAAACGAGCTTATAAAAAGGAAAAGTTTGTATAAAGACGTTTCGTTTGCACAACTGGGTGATGATAAATCACGTTTTATCTTTCTAGCAGACGACACCGTTTTACGGCGAAAGCACGCGCTCTATTTGTGACGCTTAATTTATTTTATTATTCACTCGACGTCATCACTTAGTAGACTTACTATTTTTAATATGTTGTCTTCGGTATAAAGCTGTTTATGCACAAAACCAAATACTATGACATAGAATATTTTGTTTCATGGTTTATCGGCATTCTATTTGTCACTCATTCTATCGCTATTTATAGAATAGGCTACCTTGGTTACACAACTACGGTACCAAATGTATCTATTAATAAACTGCTCCCACTCCCAGGCTACAATTTGTACATGCTGTGTCTGCTAACAGGTATTTCCTAGATATCAACGGTCAAATTTCCCCGAATATTATTTTACATTTCTGTGATATGTGAAAAGGTTTGTTAAAATTAAATATTGAATACGATTTTATTGGAATGTACGATTTATGGGTAACTCAATTCGAAGGAGTGTGACGGACAGACAGACAAACAGACGACGGACGAACCCATTTTAATAGTCCCCTGCTTTCTTCGAAAGGCGGGGGACAATAAGCATACACACCAATTTTGAACATTTTAACTCAATTCGAAGGAGAGTTATTGTGTTCCAAAGTCTCAGCAAATCAAATTGCTTATCGCTCTGCTTAATCTGAGCAGAAAATGCTCATTATCGATCTTAGTCAAGGTATTACTGTAATGAAACTATACACCAAGTTTCATCACTCTCACTTAATTAGAACTAAAGTTATAGTGTCCCAAAGCATCAACCAATCAAATTGTTTATCTACTTAATTAGAACTAAAGTTATAGTGTCCCAAAGCATCAACCAATCAAATTGTTTATCTCTGCTTACCCTAAGCGGAACGGACAGACAGACGGACGAACCAATTTTAATAGTTCCCTGCTTTCTTCGAAAGGCGGGGGACAATAAGCATGAACATTTACTCAATTCGAAGATCAACCAATCAAATTGTTTATCTCTGCTTACCATAAGCGGAACGGACAGACAGACAAACAGACAGACGGACGAACCCATTTTAATAGTTCCCTGCTTTCTTCGAAAGGCGGGGGACAATCAAAGTAGGAGAGTTATTGTTTTCCAAAGTCTCGACCAATCAAATTGCGTATCGCTCTGCTTACCCTGAGCAGAAAATGCTCATTATCAAACTTAGTCAAGGTATTACTTATCGTGTCCCAAAGCATCAACCAATCAAATTGCTTATCTCTGCTTACCCTAAGCGGAAAATGCTCATCTTCGAACTCCATCAAGGCATTGACCTAATCAACACATACACCAAGTTTGAACATTCTAGCTCAATTAGGAAGAGAGTTATCGTGCCCCAAAGTATCAACCAATCAAATTGCTTATCTCTGCTTACCCTAAGCGGAAAATGCTCATCTTCGAACTCCATCAAGGCATTGACCTAATAAACACATACACCAAGTTTGAACATTCTAGCTCAATTAAAAGTTATCGTGTCCCAAAGCATCAACCAATCAAATTGCTTATCTCTGCTTACCCTAAGCGGAAAATGCTCATCTTCGAACTCCATCAAGGCATTGACCTAATCAACACATACACCAAGTTTGAACATTCTAGCCCAATTAGGAAGAGAGTTATCGTGTCCCAAAGCATCAACCAATCAAATTGCTTATCTCTGCTTACCCTAAGCGGAAAATGCTCATCTTCGAACTCCATCAAGGCATTGACCTAATAAACACATACACCAAGTTTGAACATTCTAGCTCAATTAGAAAGAGAGTTATTGTGTCCCAAAAAGTGTGACGGACAGACAGACAGACGGACGAACCCATTTTAATAGTCCCCTGCTTTCTTCGAAAGGCGGGGGACAATTAGACATTAGTTAACTTATCCAGCCCATAATCAACTCTCGATGCCATCGCTAACGGATTGAATTGCATTTTGTGAAGGATGATTAAACGTGAAAATGGATAATCGTGACTGTTATATTTTATCATACCGACTTTAGTAATGATGATCGAGGCTAGCCTAAAATTTAA